AAGATTAGTGAGGAGGTTTTCTTCCAGATGCTAATTTATGCTAATGCAATGAAAATCAAACAAGTTTTATTTGTTGTTGTTGTTAAGAGATTTTTTTTCCCTTCAGCAATTCATTATAATAGGAACTTCATTGCTATCTGTGTATTTGTGGTACTCAGGTGGGAATTCTGAACTTTCTTCCAACCCAAATACTGAAGCGAGGGAATCTGTCAACATGCATTCATTATCGCCTGCCAGGAAAAGACTGGAAAGCAAAAGAATACTTTAGGTGCGGCAAACTGCAAAATAGATTGGACTTTACTAATTTCGTAGTTAAATTAGTAAAGAAGTGCTAATGGGTGGTATGACATGGAAACAGAAAGACAGGAACAGGCCAGGAACACCACTGAAGTGGAATGAGACCACGCAAGCTCTGGTGTGGACAAGGACTGCTCAGCGGGGTTGGCCGATGTCATTTGGTTTGGCAGAAGCCGCTGTCCAGCGTGTGTCCACGGCTGGTGTCATGAACAGATCACAGCAGCACTTTTTTTTTCTGTTTTTCTGCACAGAGGTTTAGAATTCTACTGCTACAGGTTGAACTCATCCCGCAGGATACTTTGGGTTCTTAGTAGACATTCACACCCCTTCCCCTTCCTGTGGAAGCGGAGTATAATTTCCTACTCACTCGGATTGCAGTTGGCCATAATAAACGGGGTGGGATGGAACAGAGGCTTTAAATGTGCCTGCAGTTCTGCGCCCTGGTGGCTGCCATGAGAACATGCCCAGGTAGCCACTGCATTTTTAGCTGAGGCCTCACAAAACAGGTTCCCAGCCCAGCCCAGCCCACAGCCTGAAGCAGAACACACAGTGAGCAGAAGAGTAAACTCTTATAATCCATTAAGTTTTAGGGTCCTGTTGAGATGCAACTTGTTAGCTCTGTCCTAAAAACTGGTAGACGCTGAGCATGGGGTACATGCCGGTACTCTCAGCTGTTTGGGAGGTTGAGGCAAGAGGATCTCAAGTTCAAGACCAACCTGGGCGATTTAACAAGACTGACTCAAAATAAGTTTTTCAAAAGGGGCAAGAATATAGCTCAGTGTTCCCTGGGTTCCCTTCTTAGTACAGATATTCCTCATTCAATGACTGTTATGGATTAAAAACTGGTAGTCAACTTAACACCAGCTGAATTAAATTAGTATGGTACTGAGTGTAGACGGCCCACCTGAGGAAAGTTTTCAGCATAAATAGAGATGTGGAAAGAAGAGCAAGGCATTGTGGGTTCTCCTAAGTGTTGCTGTTGTGAGCTGTTGGTTCTCCTGGCAGAGCTTGTCATGCTGGCTTCCCGATATGAATTCAGTCATTATTCTTAGAGGAGCTCGAGACCTTGTTGCTGAGAATGGGGGAACTCTGGTCCTTACACTTAGCATTGCCTCCTGGCTCCAGAGGGGAAGATGTGTGCTGTTTAATCTCCAGGAGAAGCTTGTCACGCTGGCTTCCTGACGTACTCAACTGTTCTAACCATTGGAGGTGCTCAGGACCTTGTTGTCACTGAGGATGGCTGTGGTACTTTTCAGGGCAGCCCAGGTCCTTATTTTGAGTGTTACTTCTCAGCTCCAGTGTAGAACCCTCAGTCTACTGGCACAGCTCCTTCACCACACTGGCACAGACTTTCTACTTCCCCCACTGACCTTTGGGTCTTCCCAATGCAGATCATAAAAGAGACTGTCACGAGCTCTAGACCTCCAGCTGAACTCATGAGAGGCACTGTCATGGGCTCTGGGTCTTCTGCTGGACTCATGTATGACTTTGTGGTAGGATCCTGGGCCATGGCTGAATATTCTGGGTCTTTAGTGTTGTGGACAGATTTCCCACACTTTCTTTTATTTAACTCTGGGTTACCATCATAAAATAGTATTATAAATTCTGTGTTCTGTATATAATTCTTCTCTCACAATCCCTGACTACAACAATGTCCTACCTGTTTAACAACTGTCATGACCAAGGTGCACTATTGAGATTTACAGCGCACTGCTCTAGCTTACAATCCGTCTCTTTTTGTACCATTTACCTTGCTTACACAGTATTATAAACAAATGATTGTACCATACAGTATGGTACTGTAGCTTTGTGTTTTACTATACATTATAGTACTGGCGATAAGAGTTTTCCAAATAAAAGCAAAATCATCAAGCTGGAGTTCCTATTCAGAACAAAGAATTTTGAAATATACATACTCTATATAATTCCTTATTTAACAACCAATTCATTTAACCCCGGACTGGAACTTGGACCCTAAACAGGGACTATCTGTAATGCTATAATAAAAAAATTAAACAAAACAAAACACAACGAAATGACCAGGATAAATGGCATGTTCCAGGATTAACAAGGAGCCATTATGAAGAAGAAATAGCCATGCCGGAAGCGTGGGTCACACTCTTCAAATGTTTACATTTTGACTAAATCTCTCAGTTCACAGACGAGCAAAATGAGGCTGAAAGAAACTAAAATGAAGTGACAGAAGAAGGATTCCAGTTGAGGCCTCTTGATTATTAACTGTACTCCTTTCATACCAAAATAATCATGCGGATTTTAAAAGATGTGTTGGGAATCAGGGAGAATTAGGCCGCTAAGCAGCATCAAGCAAAAGAAGTGGTGGCCGGTTCCGCCAGCTGCCAGGCTGCCACACGGGGCGAGTGGCTCTGTCCCCAGAGAATGCATGGAGGTGCCAGCCACGGCCCAGGAACGTGACAAAGCAAAATTCTATCAGATTTGAAGGAAATAAAAGTAAGAAAACAAAAACCTCAGCATAAAACGTCTATGCAACCTCAGGCACGAGGTTGGAAATAGTCTATGTCCCCGTTCTTCAGGGTAGAGCCCAGAAGGGGATGATTTCAGAAGATAACAACTCAGTTCCCCATTTGACCAAGGAAAACATCATCTATGGATGCTGCAGAGGCTTGGAAGACACATGGCCACCGCATCAAGTTAAAGGGAAACATTTTCATTTGCTTTTGCCCAATGCTCAGCTCCCACCAGACAAAATCAGAACCATTGTTACTGAAATATCCTTCTGGGAGCCCAATATCAGAACCTAACTTCTTTTTTTTTAATTTTAAAAAAAGATTAAAAGAGGACATAACAAAGCAGGTCAGAACAGAACAATTTAAACAACATACTGTTTCACCACAAGACAACCTGACATAACAGTAGCTACCATAGTGTCTCTTTCCTTGAAATATTTGAGTATACCTTCATACACTATAATATAAAACATAAGAAGATAGTATAAAACCACTCAAGAGAATGAAAGTATTACAGGGTATTCAGAACCAACTAACAGAAAATGAACAATGGTTACTACATTATACTAGATTATGTATTATATTTTTTATTGTCCATAAAAATTTTGTTTATACCATAACATTTAATAAAATCCAATAAGATACAACATGATAAAAACTGATAGTAGCAGAAGAACAAAAGCTTGGTAGGACTTCAAAACAAAATGATATTATCATTATTTATAGATGACATGATACTCTACATAGAAGACCCACAAAACTCCATTGAAAGACTCCTAGATATAATAAATAAATTCAGCAATGTAACTGGATACAAAATCAATACTCAAAAATCAATAGCATTTCTATACACTAACAACAAAATCACTGACAGAGAAATAAGAGAAGCCATACCCTTCACACTAGCAACCAAAAAAATTAAATACTTAGGAATTATTCTCAGAAAAGAAGTGAAAGATCTATATAGGGAAAATTATAATACACTGTAAAAGAAATTGAAGAGGATCTCAGAAAACAGAACCTAACTTCTTAGCATCAATCCAAGTGCCCAACATGCAAGAAGCAATCAGCAAACACTTTGTGAATGAACAAATGGAAAAACACATAACTGGATGTTAAATACATATGTTACCACTGAAACAGCTTAGAGATTTACATTATAACTTACTAATGAGAGAGTCATAAGTAAATAAAAAGGTTTAAATTCTGCTAATCTGTCTTTCATTAACTTAACAAATACTATTAATATTGAATGTCAGCTATGTATAAGCAACTTACTGAACAGACAAAGCCCCTGCTCTCAGGAAGCTGACAATTTAATAGGTAAAAGAAGCAACTCTAGACCAGGATCTGAAATAAATGAGATCCATATGTGTAAACATCATATTGTCTCACTAGTGGGAGAAACTTAAAGAGTAAGTAAGATCCAAAATGCGCACTAGATACTGTGAGTTGGAAAGAAACTATTCAAAAGGAAAGAGAAAGTGTGATGGGGAAAGAAGAAAGGAAGGAAGGGAAAAGGAAAGTAATGTATATAGACAAAATATATATATATAGACACACACAAGGTAGTTAAGATAGTTATAGAGTTAGTTAAGGTAGTTATATACTTAGCTAAGATATAGTTAAGATAGTTATATAGTTAGTTTCTCTTAGTTCATTCAAAAGAAAGGCTCATGCTAACATTGTTTGGACAAGATATCACGCCTATATCCTATAGTCTGAATAACTACTAAGAAGACAACAATACATGATGTATTAATTATTGTGTCTCCTACTAACCTATATTGAAATTGCTTTATTGTGTTTTTTTCTGTTTAAAATTAAAAAAAGAAAGTGTTAGCACACTCAAACATACACACAGAAGTAAAATAACTTAAGAGAAAAGCCACAGAGCCACGTAAGAGTGAGCGCACATTTGAGATTAGAGGAAGCCAGACGGTCCCATGAGCGAACAGCCCCGAAAGATCCCACTTGATTTTGTGAGCAGTAAAACGATCAAACAGAAACCTCGCTTTCCCAGAGCCCCGCATCCAAGGGCAGCAGGCCCCTGGGCAGCGTGCACTCTAGCAGTGAGCTGTGTCTCGGTCCTAGGTCCCTTTCTTTCCCTTGAGGCTTCCCACACGCTAAGCCAAAGAGCCAACAAATCACCACAATTAAAGCTTGAAAACTTGTTCACACATTGATTTCTCATAAATACATACGGTTCATACATACCAAGCAAATAATCCGTGTATGAGGACAAAAGGTCCACAATGGCAAACTCCGGAACATTCGGCAACACTGTCTGATTAATCCTATCGGTTCTAGCATCCTTCTTTCCAATGAGAAGGTTGACTGCCAGCACGGCTTCACTGACCTGCAATCAGTCCGCACAGTAGAAGTCAGAAGCTTTGTATTCACTTATGAGCCATGGCATAAGCGCTGTGGTTTTAATGGACCCTCTAAAATTTTAATGAGTTGGGAAACTGACTCCGAGTGGCAGTGTGAGGACCAGGCCACCGAAGGGGAGATTAGGTCCTGAGAGCTCTGCCCTCTTGTCCTCTTGGGATCAGGTTCTTATCCCAGAGCGAGCCAGCCCGCCTTTGCCTGTCACGTCTCCTTTCACCTGCAGCCTCAGAGGTGCAACAAACAGGCCCTTTCTAGCTCAGTCCCCTGATCTTGGCTTTCCTGGCCTCCAGAACCGAGGCAGTCAATTTCTACCGATTATAAATGACCCGCTCTGCATTGTTCTGTTATAGCAACATGAAGCAGGCTGATTCAACAGCTAACGTGGGACAGTGAACTCATATAGTAATAGTCAATGGACGCAAGAAAAAGTGACAACCTGAAAGAATAATATATGCTCCCTGACATATACATGGTATATTATAGTTCAACAAGTCATTTAGTTTTGACAATTTAATAATGGATAAATCACTTAAAGCTAGTTCATGTAACTATGACAAATATTTGCCAAAATGTCAAGTATGTACACATGTGATTCCACTAATATTTTCATTAAACATTACTGAAACACAGAGAGTCAGGTTTGGTCTGGCTAGTATAGATTAAAACCACTGCACTAAACACAGAGTATTTCTAATCTTTCCAAACAAATACAATACAAATCCTAAGAAGGAGACATTTTCCTTTCTGTTGTGAAGATGGACGGTCCTGCCTTAGCAGGCGGAAGGTGGGGAACACTGATCCGAACAGTACCAACCTGGGCAGCAGCTCTTATTGCAATCCAGGCCATGCAATTGTACATTTCAAATCTATTTATTACTGGCTCTCTAACAGAACTGGTTCTTCTGACAGGAAGCTAAAAATATATAAAAAATAAAGTTTTATGATAAACACATAAAATATGAAGTTTTTGTTCAATCTTTTTTTGTTGGAATCTTATTTTCATTTTCTGACATTTTGGTAGAATACTATTTAGCCATTAACAACAATAATTGAAAGGAAAATATATTTAAAATATATTAAGGAAAGAAAAGTATAGGGAAAGAAAACTATCTTTTGACAGGAAAATATATTTAAAATATATTAAGGAAAGAAAAGTATATGATCCCTTTTTTGAAATGTAAATATATACACATATAAGCACAAAAAGTGTTAACAGTGATTATCCCAATTTTTAAGAAGGACTAAATTATTTTTACAATTTTTTTCAAATTTGCTATAATTATACTTCATGATTCATGTTCTAATAAAAATGTCATTTAAGTAAAGTCAAGAGTCATGTTAACAGAGGATCTATAATTGAATATGATGTGGGTAAAGATGTAAGAAATGAGAATATTATTCAAGGTTTTTGATAGTTTTTTATCATTTTTGTAACTAGGAAAGTGTCAAAGGGGGAAATATTATCACAAAGTTCCATAAAATAATAAAAATGAAAAGTTAATGGAGATTTTTTTTTACCCTGGGTACATATGGTGTCTATCTATACACACACAACACACACATATACACAATCAGTTTCTAAAATATAAAAAATTCAGTGAGCAGAAGGAGCCTCTACCAACAACACAGTGCCCTTTTTACATGTTTAAGTATAACTACAATAAGTAAATATTAATAGTTATTTCTTCAGATTTAAATATTTCTTAGTATTTAAATAATCTGAATAAAAATAACTTAAATTAGACCCATAAGTTCTAATTTTTTGATGGCTGTATTTTGATCAATTCTTTAATCTTTAAGAAAACCATAGACTAACACAAACAAAAACAAAAAAGTGTCTTTATTTCTACTTCTGCCTAGAAGCCTGCCAAGGATGAGAAACGGCGGCAGACGCTCAGGTGGTGCGTCCATGCTTTAATGAGACTTGCTAGACCAAGCGTTAGGTTTGGAAAAAGAAGGTACCGGACAAATCTGACTCCGGGGCGCTACACACCTGTGCTGTCCTAGCATAAGAAGACCCTAAGCATCAGCTGTCGTGGAACTGCACAGGCTTGGAGGCAGGAACTGCCAGTTTACTGGCTCTGTAAGCGTCAGCAATTTACCTCCTCAGATTCTGGAAGTAAGACTAACAGGCGTGAAATGAAGAATGCAAAATAATATTAAGTAACGAGTATAGACAATTAGTTACCCAGACACTCAAAAAGGAAAGAAGCCATCTTTAATTGAGCAGAAAGTTTTACTGAGGAGCATGGGCCTAAGCTCAGAATGGAAAAATTCGGACAAGGAAAAGGACACAGTTTGCACTTTTTAAGATGAAGAGTGTCAATGTTTCACAGCCCATCAAAACAGGAAAGAAAGAAAGAAAAATGTGAACAGTTTAGATATTGAAAAGTAAAATTGTCTTTGTTTGCAGAAAACATGATCCAGTCATATTTAGAACATCCTAAGAAAAATCTCTCTCTCTCTCTCTCTCTAATAAATAAAGGTATTTAGCACAGACACAAAATATAAAATAATAAAACATACAAGTCAACTATTTTTCTATATACTACCAATCACCAATATGAAACTGAAGATAAGAAAAAATCCATTCACAGTGGAAATAACAAATATATATCCAGAATATATAAAGAACTCAAAATTTTAATAACAAAAGTGAATCAATTAAAATGTGCAAATGATCTGAATATATATTTCTCCAAAGAAGAAATCCAAATGGTTAATGAATATATGAAAGATACTCAATATATGTAGCCAGCAGAGAAATGCAAATCAAAATAACAGTGAGGTTCTCTCTCAGCCCAGCTGGAATGACCACTATCAACAAACAAACAAAAATAAATAAATACTGGCAAAGATGTGAATAAAAAGGAACCGTTACACATGTTTGCTAGGAACGTAAATTAGTACAGCCACTATAGAAAACAGTATATAGTTCCTCAAAAAAATAAAAATAGAATTGTCATATGAGTCTGCTACCCCACTCCTGGTTATGTATCTTAAGGAAACAAAGTTATATAAAACATACACAACAGATACCTGCACAGCTGTGTTTACTGGGCTAAATACAATAGCCAAGATAAGAAATCAGCCCAGGTACCTATCAACAGACACCTATTATGCACAAAACACTTCAGAAAGAATGTAGCTGTCTGCCTGAAGTTATACAATGATAGGTAATTGTTCCATCTTTTGAGTTTTGATCCTGTACAAACCCATTATTTTGTGTATACTCCCAGCTACTCAAAGAAGCACGTGTCACCATCTTTACTTCAGATTCAAGGCAAATGAGGCTTAGAAAGGTGAATCACACACCTGGTATGTCAGGAAGCTGGAATTCAGACTCAGACCAGTACCATGTGGACCGTGCATGAAGTGAAACAACAGTCCTCTCTTTCAAGATTTCATAATGTTGTCATTATTAGGGCAGGCTTCAAATGTTTTGTTTCAATGGCCTAGATTATTATTTTATTTGTTTTGGTTATCTTCTGTAGTTTCTAGTAATTTTGAGACTTGTTAAAATGTAGTGTGTCACAATTTTGAGAAGATGATAACCATGCTTTATGGAATTTTACTATTCTTTCATTCAAATTCTAACTTCTTCATGATCTTCATTATAAATACTTTAAAGAACAGATCACACAAGTGATATGCTGTTATCATATGAGCCTACTAATTTTCACTGCCACATAGTAAACACAGTAGTTTTTCTCTACCAGAAATAAACATATTTATCACAACATAAAAAGTAACTTTTTCTAGTTTGTCATCATTTCAATTTTTTAAAAAAGCAGGTGCCACCCATATGAATAACTAACTCAATTTATTGAGAATTCTGTACATCTAAAAGTTTTAAATTATCTTTATACTATGTCAAACATCAAAGATTTGAAACCAGTATTTTTTAAAAGATTTACTGAAGAATAAAATGATTATTCAATAAGGATTTAATATAAAACACTACCAGAATCTTAAAAAGTAAAATTACTGGGCTCACATACCTCAAAGCCACCTGACTTCTTCCTGCCATGAGAAACACTCTCTAAGGACCTTTGTACCCAAGTGTGGCCCAAGGCCACCAGCATCAGAGTTACTTGGAACTTGTTGCCAACACCAAACCTCAGATCCTACACCTGATTTACTGAACAGAAACTGACATTTTCACAAGGTTTTTGGAGCGGTTTCTCTACCTTAATTTGGAAGCAGTACTCTAAGTCATGTGTCCCTCTGTGGTTCTTTACATGGCTCCTTCTTGTCACCAAATCCTACCGCCAATATCACATCTTCCCTCCGCAGTAATTACAACCCCAGCAATCCAAGTCACCTCCTGATCCCTAGATGCCAAGTTCCCTCTCTTTCCCCAGCTTCCCCCTTGTTTCCTCCCATCTTCCTCCCTCTGACTTCCTTCCTTTGCTGAGGTGTTGCCTATTTCCCTGCACTGAAAGATGAACCCTACGAGAGCAGCTGCTGAGCTCACCTTGGACAGTACTTACCTCCTTCCTCTAGAAGAGTGCCTGGATCGCAGTCAGCGCCACTAGACACGTGACGAATGATGAAAGCCTCTAGAAGTTAGCTGGCTATGTCAGTACTGAGCGCTTTACTTGTTCATGTGTTTAACCAGTATGTCACTTCCTGCAATTTCTTGATTATTACTAACGATCATTACTAATGACTTACTGTATTTACACTACTTATATTTCAACTACAACATTTTAACAATCAAAAAGATCTAAATGAGATCAATTTCCAGAGCCCTACATAAACTGTCCAAAGAGGAATCTAACTACAAGTGTGACTATAAAGCAATTAATTAGTTTCTCTAAGTCACTTAGGGAAATGCCTCATTATCTCAAAAGCACAGTGTTACTAAAAGGGTAAGATCAAAGGTAATTAACTTATAATTTCTAACAAATTTAGCTATTACCTTTACTGGTGGTGGCATTTGTGAAACTCTCCTCTTTACGATCATCCCATGAAGACAAAACAGGGCCATTTCTAGGTAGGAATCTCTTATCAACCTAAAATGACACAGCACTGAGCTTATTAAAGAATATTTACCATTAATAATATTTTGCATCATTTCCTGACAATGTATAAGCTTATGAAGGATAAACACAAGCAAAATTAGAATCTATCCTAATACTCAACCCTCCTTTTCATAGCACTTTTGGTCATAGGTACTGGAGTCTTTTTCCCTTAAACTGGAAGCTCTCGAAGAAAGTGGAGTATCCTACGTGTCCTGCACTGACAGCACTCCACTCGATGACTGCTGTGAAGCTCAACATCTAGAACATTCTGGAACATTCTAGCAGGCAAGGAAAACCCAAGACCAGGGGAACCTACCTTGAAAACTTGGTTACTGTACTCTTCCACACTAATTAAAATGGAATAAAATACAGAGTTCTGCAGAAAGCAGTGATATGGTACAAATGAGGTCTGTGTGCTTACTATCAAAACTGCCAGTCAAGCCCACTTGGGTCAGTGCTATTTTAATAACAGTGGTTTATCCTCAATACTGAGGTGACTTTTGTGAAGAATTGAGCTGGTCAGCCCTGGTGTGGATGACCAAAGCGAGTAAATATACATAGCTCTCCTGGATACAAATCATATGCTAGAAAGGATCTTCCCATCAGAAGTCAGTTGCTCAGGGCTGGCTACCACAACCCTGGGACGCACAGGAGATTGGGAACAGGCCTGAGATATTTACAGCCCAATACACCACCATGACAATGAGCGCCATCTGCCATTGCTATCAGGGGGCCTTGGCAAAGGCAAGAGCAACAAGTTTGAAAAGCAGTCAGTGGCCACGTGGTCCAGATCAATTGCAGTGTGTCACCTATCATGAGGACTCTCATTCTCTCCACGAATGTTCCACGTCCTACCAAACTACAGAATCCACACCAAACACAAACACTGCTCTCAAAAGGAAAAGACGTGGTTCTTACCCTGAGTTTTGGTCATTTTTCAAACTTAGTTGTATAGCTTCACATAAACTCTCAAATTTCATACTTGGGGATTTCTCTTCCATCACTATTTGACGTTCTATTTTGCCTAAAAATTAAAATATATATATATCACATATGGTTTTTCCTTTTTCTATCACTTAGAGCTTCTAAACAAATATTTCATGTTGGAAATTCATAAACCTAGAAAGGTTGTCCTTCCATCAGTCTGTCGTTTCTTGCTGAGAGAAACACGGGTGGGGAGAGACCTACTGCCTCTTTGCCAGAGGCCTAAGCTTGCCCTGCCTCCGGTTAACCCCTGGGCCAAGATGCTTTTGGCCAAGATGCTTTTGGCTTCTGCAAAACAGCTGGCGTGACCACTGGATTTTCTCCCTCTGTGTGCTCTTCCTTTATGTCTGATTTCTCTACATCCGTTTTCCTCCTCTCCTGTCGAGTTCACAGAAGTCACGGGACGTGTCTGCATTCTTACGGGCAATGCATCATCCACGGCAACTGTGACCCTGAATAAACTTGAGCGGAGTGGATGAATGGATACAGAAAATGTGTGGGTACGAAAATACATGAGGTGTGATGGAAACCAGTGTGTGTGCAAATTTAAATATCTTGCCATTAATCCCCCTCAAAGTACTTTCCCTTTCTTCAAACACAGTTGTGTCACTGTGGCTGCCTCAGGGTCCTGAAGGGATTCTAAATGTTTATCTTTCATGGCCCACTTAACTTCGGGGTAGACCAGGAGTCGCACGGTGCCAGAGCCAAAGTTTCTAGCAGCCTGCCTTTCACAGGATGGCACTCAGCAATGGCGTTCACTGTATTTTGCTTTTTACCCCACCTTATAAAAACATCCATGAAAGCCAACTTCCAGGACTTCATAAAGTGGCAGGAACAGGATAAATGTGTTCAAAGCGAGAGAAGAACTAATGGCAATGTGTCTTATACTATCAGAAATTTAAAATTTTAAACATCACTGCATTTTCCCATTACTCCATGTATATACTACACACACACATACACACACACACACACACACACACACACACACACACACACATACACAGTGGAATATTACTCAGAATGAAGACAAAAGGAAATTCTGTTATTTGCAATCACATAGAAGAACTCAGAACATTTTGCTTAATGCAAGCCAAAACACACAGAAAGTCATATACAAGGACCTCGCCCACATGGGGAATCTAAGAAAGCTGAACTCTAGAAGCAGAGAAGGAAGGGTGGTTCCAGGGAATGGGAAGACGGGGACTAGGGAGCTGTAGGTCAAAGTTTTAGTTAGACAAGCTTGGTAAGTTCTGGAGAACCACTGCACTGCATGACGGCTACAATCCATAACAATGTACTGGATACTGGATGTTATGGTTTGATAACTAGTGGTCAACTTAACGCCAGCTGGATTACATCAGCATGCATTGAGAAGATGCTCCACCTCAGAAGGGTTGCCAGGATAAATAGGTGGAGAAGAAGAGAGGGAAGGAGAGGGATTGAGGCTTTATGGAAGCACTGTTGGTTCTCCTATGAGTTGCTGTCTGAGCTGTTGGTTCTCCTGGAGAAGCTTTGGTCTTCACATCGAGCATTGCTTCCTGGCTCCGGAGGGGAAGACATGTGCTGCTTGGTCTCCAGGATGAACTCGTCACGCTGCTTCCTGGTACGTACCCGACTGTGCTTGTTGTCGGAGGAGCTCGGGGCCTCCGTGTCGCTGAGGACAGCTGTGGTTCCTTTCAGGACAGCCCCGCTCTTTGTTGTGAGTGTGACTTCTCGGCTCCAGTGTAGAACCCTCATCCCACTAGCACAGCTCCTTCATCCTGCTGGCATAGACTTTCTGGCTTCCACCGCTGACCCTTGGGTCTTCCCGGCATGAATCCGTAAAAGAGACTGGCGTAAGTCCTTCTTGTGGGCTCTGGACTTCCAGTTGGACTCGTGGAGGCGTTGTCCTGAGCTCTGGGTTTTTATCTGGACTCATGTGGGACATTGCCGTGGGGTTTAGACTCTTGACTAAATAATCTATGTCTTTGGTGTTGCGGATGGATTTCCTGCATTCTCCTGTGTTAACTTCCGGTGACCATTATAGAAATATTATAAACTCCATGTCCTGATCTGAATTGTTCTCTGTGTACAACCCCTGACTACAACACTGGAAAACTGCTAAGAAAGTACATTTTAAATGCTTTCACCACAACGAGAATGATAAGTACTGGTGTGATGAATATGTTAGGTAGTTCGATTTAATTAGCCCACAAAATGTAGATATATATATATATATATATATATATATATATATATGAAAACACATTGCACCCCAACCTTACACACAATTATTTGTTGATTATAAATAAAATTTAGCAACAATCACACCTTAATGGCACAAATTCTAGGAAGCAGCAAATGCCTGAAAACCCTCAGTGAGGATGCCAATGGTCTGACCCTCACACGGTTCCTGGCGCTCTTGGTGAGCATCTCCAGAGTGGCATTAAATGAACACCTCTAGAGCAAAAAATAAAACAGAGACTCTGCTTACTCCTGGTTCTCAAGCAGCTGTGCGAGGAAGGGGCACACAGCGGTCCAGCAGCGGCGCGCTAGCATTTAGGACAGGCTGGTTTTGGAGCTCACTGGCCCAGACTCCACCCTGCTTTCCTCACCTGTAACCAGCGCTACTCACGGCTGCTAGAGCACTGCTGCCAGACTCAGCAATATGAGCTGTAAAACACCAACCAGAGCACTTAGCATGCAACAGATGCTCAGTGGATGAGAGAATGATCAGGCTTCGTTTTTTTTGCGGCTAGAATGTCCCTCCGCACACACCTGAGGCATGTAAATAAGGACTGTGCATATGCTGCAAATGGGGGTGCACTGAAGCTGTTTAACTTTAATGGATATGTATCTTAGGTACAGAAATTAGTCAAAATGTTAAGCTGGGTACTGAAATAATATAGAAAAATACTTTCGAAACATCATTTAGGTAATGTTTTGTATAGCCAAGTGGCTGATGTTAATATTTTTTAATCAAATTTCAAATTTTATATAGGGAAGGTCAGTCATAATTGCAAAAAAACTCATAATGCTTTTTCTTTCCTGATATAAATTTAAAATAAGCAATATCAGCCAGGCAGAGTGGCACACTCCTATCATCCCAGCACTCGGGAAGCCGAGGCAGGAGGATCAGTGCAAGTTCGAGATCAGGCTGGGCTATCAAGTGAGCCCAAGGCCAGCCTGAACTGCACAGTGAAATCTTGTTTCAAAAAGGCAGAGGGAAAAAAGGCAGTATCCTTTTACTGAAATGTGTTTTATCATTACCAAGCCCTTTACAACATCTGCATTTTTATAGTCAAGATCATTGTTAACAGCAAAATAAAAAGCCTAGAAACATTTTCATGGTTCTGATTCCTACCTTTCTGAAAAAGGATTTCAGCTTCCACCTCACATTCCTCCACCGCCGCCGTCTTACACAGCCTCAAGGCTGTCTCAAAAAGATGCAGAGCAGGTACCCACTTGGCGGAATCCTTCCTTTTACTGCTCCAGTGTGCTTGCTTGGCCAGGGTGTGTCCTAAAGGAAAACAGTTGGGTGAGAGGCACAACAGTGAAATAAGCAGTGGTCTTAGCAGGCTTGCAAGTCACCAGACTCCTCTCCTCTTAGGAATGGTATCTCCTGAGAGCTCCGGGGGTTGTCAGTTTTTAGCACCCCGGAAAGGGTTTTAAAGAAACACACTAGCCAATATTTCAGTGAACTACAACAATGACTCTTATCATTGGTAAACCTCCAACACATTTTCTTGTTTCTAAAATGAGAGATAAATTCCCGAGTCTCTTTCAGCTCTAAAATTTCATGGCAGTGTTCAGAACAACTTCCATATTCCTAAAATGGGGTTACTAGCAGGAAACATCTGGAACTTTCATGCTGCTTTCAATTAAATCTACATATATTAATATGCAGTAATTTTCATTCTATTAAACACGACAGTGGTCGTTTGCCACGCATTTCCTCCCCATCCCAACCTGACAATAAACCCATCATGGACAAGAGCTGCAGGCCCAGCATCACAACCAAAGGAAGGGCTAATGGATGGAAGAAGCACTTTTCTTAACCTACATGCTTCAAAGACAGATATACATTTATTCCACAAATATTTTCTACATGCTGAGGCAGGAAATGAAAATGAGAAAGCAGAATGATGAAAGCTAAAATGCCACGAACTGGCCCAGGTACGTAGCATGCATTAGTCACGTGATGCTCACAAGTTGAAGTGGGTACATTTTTGTGCTCACTTGACCGAGGATAAATAGTACCTCCAAGAGTGGTTTTAAGTAAGCACTCCAAGTTCACATAGCTGGTGAGTGGCACTGCCATCATTTCAACCTAATCAGTCAGGTCCACATCCACCCCTCCTAGACTACAGGGTGTCATAGCCCTAAAGCAAGGACGTGGAGTCTAGTGATGCATAGAGAAGATGAACAGCCTCAGAGGTAATCAGAATAGTGTGTGGCAGGGAAAATGGAGAGTGCTGTGGTGGTAGGGGACAGGAGCCCTGACCCATATCTGGGGAGGTCGGGGACAGCTTCCCAGAACATGCTGTCCAGGTGGACAGCCGAGGACCCCTCATCATCAGTAACTTCAGGGAAAAAAATCAAGTTGGGATAAAGAGTGGAGGAAAATGAGATGTTACACTGCTGAGATAGCTGGATATACACAAGAGAGAGAGAGAGAGAGAGAGAAAGGCAGCGCAGGACTGCACGATACAGATGCTCGGTTCTGGCTGAAGAACAGGGTCCTGGCCAGTCATCGGTGCTACCCTGTCATTTGAGGTCTTGAACAACTCCCGATGGCCCTCAGTTTTGAATGTCTTCCTCTAAGACATTCCCTTGGGTTCTAGAATTTTTCAGTTTCAAATACCATACTCTACAAACGGTTAAAAAAATGAACACTTTTATAAACCTTGGCTTCAGGAATGTGCCATATGGATGGCAGGCCGTGAAGAACCTCAGTCTCTCCTTCTCCCTCCCCCACCTTTCCCGCCTCTGCAGTGAAAAGTGACTGTAAACCAGGAAGGAAGGCAGCACATGGCTGAGAACGTTGAGAGGAAGAAGCTGATTCCCTGCGCCCAGAGGCTCCCCGGACAGTGAGCAGCGAGATGTCAGCATCTCGGAAGCTCTGCACTCCGCAGACTGCGAGCCTGCACAGCACCCGTGGCCCTCTCCACTCCCCGAACCCCACAGCAGCCAGTGGCTGTGCCACCTCACCATTTTGCAATACAGAAAATGGAAACACAGAGAAGTTAAATGATTCATTAAAGCGAAATTGTAAGAACTCTGCCTCTCTAGAGTCCATACACGTAACCCCAGCAATTACCGATGATGATTAGCTCCCAGGTAGGAAGAGAAATAAAGAAAAGACATGCTATTACTACCTGTCCAATATGACTTACTGTTTCAAAGCACTCTCATTTCAAATCTTTCATTATGGTTTCAAATTATACCACAGCTCTTTATTGATAGAAGACAAAAATATCAAATATCTTCATGTCATTGCAGTACATTTACAGATAGGCACATATATATTAGTACTACATAAGACAGTACCAAGATATCACAGTAGTATTTGAATTATCCTCTAGATTCCTCTTAAATTGTAATTGTTACAGAAAATATTGATTATTCTCTCTTTGTTCACCCACTGTATGATAGGTTCCAAGTAAACTTGATGGCAGAGAAGGCAAATGGTTCATATATTCCCATTCCCCAGTATCATTTGTACACGTAAGTGATCTCCAAAAAATGTTTGCTGATTGAAAGAATGTAGGAAATGTCTTCCTTTCTATTTGCAATCTGTAATTTACCTTTCTATCTAAAAAGTGCAGCTGACAAAAAAAAAGGGTAGCTCAAGGTAAGGTAACTAATGGGAAAATAACTAATCATTGTGCTGATTTTTATTTTATAAAATCATATCAACATATTATTTGCTATCAGAGGCTTTCACAAAGAAAAAATTTGAAGCAGCTCAGTTTTTGTGATGTAATCTATACTGTAAGGAAAAACTGTCCAGAATGCAAGTCACAGATGAGTTTGTGCTTCCTAATATCAAAATGTTCTTTTCTCCAGTAAACATCAACTCTGTGAAAACGAAGTCGTGAAACTAACATTGTTTTGACAGAAAAGCTGCTTTTGGGTTTGTTTTTAAAGTCTGTATTTAATATAATATACCAGAAAGCAAGCTGCTCAGCTTCAAATGAGTCTGAAAAACAGCGACAGTATTGTCATTGAGTGGTGACACATGTTCAAGATGAGGAAATCAGAGAAGCAGAGAACACATTTACACAATCCGTACTTCAAGCTCACGGAAGTCCTGATAGTATAAGAAACTGGGGGCCAAAAACCCAGAAAAAGGAGCTCTGATGAGATGAGCGGGCAGGAAGGAATCCGAGAGGCCAAATAAGCAAGGTCTCTTCATAAATGAGGAAACAATACAGTGGGTCGTATCCAATGACGCAGTTCGTATCCAATGATGATGATTGTTCTGGTTTATAGCTCGGAGCCCCCCTAAGCCTCATGTGCTCATACACAGGGCTTTTGGGAGGTGACTGGATTGTGGGCCTGGGATGCTCATTGGTGGATTAATCCACTGATGAGTTAATACCTGAATGCGCTGTTGGGAAGTGAAGCTGGCTGGAGGAGGTGGGTCACTGGGGTGTGGTTATCTCCCTTCCGCCCCCCTTGATCTCTTTCTGATCCTGCCCTGAGCCTTCTCCTCTGCAATGCCCCTCTGCTGTGCTGTTCTTCCTTGGAGCCAGCTGACTGTGGAATGAGATTTCTACAAACTGAGAGCCAAAATAAACCTCTCCTCTAAACTGTGAGTGTTGGGTATTGTGTCTCAGCAACAAGATAGTACCTAAGACAATCATATAACAACAATAATTTGTATTAATAATGGAAGGGGGCAGCAAAAGGAAGATAAGGAGAAGACACAGGAGAGATGAGAGCTTGAATGTATCCTTACTGCCCTACTTTCCACAACCCAACCCACCATGACCTCTCCCTGGCTGAGCAGCCACTGGCACCGGGGTAGGAGGGTCCTAAAAAGTGATGGGCAAGAACACAGATGCACAAACCTTTCTGGACTCTGAGCTGGACACGAGCCTGACAGATACCGGAAACCTTGGGTCTTAGACCAGAGAAAATGTCCTGGAGAGAATTTGAAATGAAGTCTGCGAGTCTCTGTCTGCCTTCCCCCTTGGTTGAGCAGTGAAGCCAACTGGCAATGGCCAGGGTCCTCCTGACTACCGAGCCCAGGAGTGCAGCCTCTGTTAGTTCCCTTGGTGCCTCAGTGGGGAACTGAACTCTTGAAGCTGCTACCAAGTCAAACAACAGAGGCAGAACTCAACCTTTGACCAGCATTTGCTGCACTGTTACACTGAGGTTAATCCAGGAAGCTCCACCTAAACCATAGTAATAAACAAAGGCAGCAATGCAGCACAGAAGGCTAGCAGCCAGCAAGAGGAAGAGCAAACAGGAAGATGAAGAACAAACCGACGAAAGATCTAATGAAAACCTGAGGTTAAAAAAAAAAAAGAGTACTTCTACAGATTACTTTGGTCACTTTCCTTCTTGTGGAGACACAATACCCAATACTCACACTTTAAAGGAGGAGAGGTTTATTTTGGGTCACATTTCAGCCCAGGATGGGCCAGCTCCAAAGAAAAAACGGGGAAAGTGACAAGGGTACAATTAAGCAAAATGGGATGTGGCCAGCAGCAGAAAGAGATCTATCTGCAGCCTGGAAGGGGTCCCTGAGTTCCAGGTGCAGGAGGATGAAACGTGCACCCAGAGATATGTAAGTTAAGATTCCTAAATTACAGACAGTGAAGGGAAAATCTTCTGATGACAATAACAAAGTTTTCACCAAAAAAGACAAAAATTGGCACTGCAGATCTCATGTGCAGTGTTCAGACGGAAATGACAGAAGAGTAGGTACTGAATCCTGAGCGGAAAGGCACACCCCAAGATCCTGATAACGAGCTGAGCTAGCAAATCATCCAGCCGCTGAGTCCAGAAAGCAGGTATTTGGAATATCAGCTAGGTACCCCAACTGCGGACAACATTAGCCAAAAAATGTTCAATCAACACCCTACAGGACAGAGACTGAAAGCTGGGGAAGATGAATGAAAAAGGAAAAGAAAGAGAAAAACAGTACCTTTGCCCAATGGAAGAATGACTGCACTTAGATATTACTGATTTCAGAGCAGAATTCTAACAACAATTTCTTTAAAAAGAAATTTGAAGGAGAGACAAAAATATTTTGCACTTGAAAGTACTGAATTACCCTAGTAAAATTTAGAAAGAATAGAAAGGAAAATTTTAGAAGACCCTTCTAAAAGGTGAAATTAAACTTGAAATGTAACGTTGATGTAAAGAGGTCATCCTGTTGGGGAAGGCCTGGAAAGGAGGAAGGTGAGGGTCTTGGGGACAGGAACCAGCCGAATCTGCCTACCAGAGAGCTCTGGGAATCCTGTGTTTGACTTTGAGGTCTAGGAAAGAAAAAGTACAACGGATGTCTAAAATAACGATAGGAAAGAAAGGCAATGATGAAAACAATTTGACCAATGTGACAAAGTGAAAGAAATAAACAAGGAAGATGTAAAGCATTATATCAGTAATAACAGCCATCCATTGCCTGCCTTCTACTGTTCTTAAATACTTTACCTAATTATTGCAAACTCACAAGGTAAAGAGCCCTACCCCCATTTTGCGGGTAAGGCCCTCGAGTCTAAGAGCTCAAATAACTTTCAGGATCAGATAACTAAGCAGCCATAATGCCAAGACTTAAGCCACACCCTCCAGACCATAAATCCACATCTGAGCAGTTTGCTCTACACTCTGCCCTGTGCTTCCTGATTCTGATCACCTGTGTGTTTCTCTTCTTTCTACAATACTATCCACGAGCTTATCTCCCTTGAATATTTGAAAAGCATGCACCATTTTACTATATGCCAGGAATGTTACTCGATGCTAAATATTTAATAAGTATTAGGTTTGTGCCTTGACTAACAAATAGTTCCCAAGTGTAACTTTTGTCACAAAAGTCACATGTGTTCACTTGGCAAGATTTAAAGGAAAGAAACAAGTGAAAATAAGAAAACAAACACCATCCATAATCACAGCAGCCAAGAAGCATCTCTGATTTTGGTATTAATTTCTGGTATAAATTTCTACATTTTTGTAAAATTTCTATCTCTGTTTTCCTGTGATATCATGATATACAATGAATATTTTGAATTTTTGTGTTTGGGACATTTTTCCAACGTAGTATATACAAACATCTTTCTGTACTACAGAAATTTTTCTGCAACATCATTATTACTAGTTATATAGTAGTTTAGTGGATGAATGAAGTATGAAAGCTTCACAGTTGATTGATTGATTGATTGATTGATTTTAGCTGCTGTGCTAAGCATCTAAGATATCAGGTAGACAAATCTGTCACCATAAGTCCACACTTTAATGGGGGCTTCAATCAAGCAAACAGTCCATAACAACAGTCCATAACAACTGCTCTGATGAGTGTTACAAGAAGAATAATCAACTAGCAGAGGAGTAGGGTACCTAACTCAGTGTTGATGGTCAGGAAAAGCTTCTCAGAAAGTGCGATGTTTAAGGTCTGAAGGACGCAGACACTTAAAGGCAGTGTCTCTGTGTGCATGAGGGAGGGGAGGCAAGGGAAAGGCAAGAGTGGGCGTGCAGTACCTAGGAAAGATGGCTCCAGCTGGAGAACACAGATGTGCTTAGTAAGTACTAAGGCTTAGTAAGTACCCAGTGATTCAGAGTGACTGGAGGGTTGAGGGACAGGATGAAGAACAGGCCTGGACCATATCATAAAAATTCTTTTAAGCCAAATAAATGGGAAGTATTTACTTAAGAGATACAGTATGGAAACAGAACACACAAAAGTAATTAAGAGAACAGAGAGGGAAAAGAAAATCAGGAAGATTGCAGTGTCCAGGTGTCTAAAGGTCAAAAGAATAGTTTCCAAAAATTACAACTGATATCAGCAATGTCAGATGTATTACAGGTTGGGGGTTCATACAGGTAAGTTCAGAAAATCATACCTTGGAATTATAATTAGCTCCTTAGTAACAAAACACTGAGAGAGCTTTCTCTGGCTTAAATCCAGAGTAGAGTGGGGTGAGGAATGAATGGGAGTTGGAATGAAAGAGAAAAGGACAGAATCCAATCTTAAGCTTGTGAGTAGGGGCCGCTGGGAGGTGTTATGGTTTCTACCTAGATTTGCCTGCAAAGCTTCATGCACTCTTAAGTGGGCTTTTCAGAGGCGGCTGGATGTAGATTGTGTAAATATGGATTAAGGGCGTGTGACCACTGGATTAGTCCACTGACCATCCAGCGCTCTTCTGGGTGTGGGTAATAGGAAGTCCTGCCCCGCGTGTGGGTGGCATCTACCATTGGGCTACAAGCCTAATGGAATGGAATAAAAAGGAAAGATGGAGAGCAGGGTGCTGCCGCTTACTGCTCACCACCTTCTGCCTGCCGCACCGTGAACTGTTTCTCCGCTGTTGCTCCCTGCCTCGGAGCCAGCTGACTGGACTGAAACCACTGCACACTGGAACGATAATAAACTTTCCTCCCTTGAGGAGGGGTGTCAAGTATTTTGTTGCAGCAACACTTTAAGTAACTAAGACAGGAACAAAGGCGATGGAGGCCTGGGGTAGGTTTATGTTTATTTGTTTGCTTGTTTGGTTTTGGAGGGAAGGGAAAGGAAGAACAGGATGGGAAGGATGGAAAAAGGTTGAGATGTGTTATGCACATGGACCACCTCCCATGATGAACACAACCATTATGTATAGCAAACATGAATTAGTAAACTTTTATAAAATAAAAATAAAAAATGAAGAGAACATGAAAAAGGACATACTGATCAAAGAGGATGGAGGATATGCAAGAGAAGGCGAAAGTGTTGGAGCAGGAAGCCTGGGAAGACGACAGGGCTGCAAGCCAAGAGGCTGGATTCTAGAAAGGGAAGCTGCGCCCTGACAAAGGACCAGGGCAGAAAGAAGCAGGAGCTACGACTCAGGCTGATCAGAGAGGTTTTCCAAGAGGCTCAGCACGTGAAAAGCAGTGAGGCATACAGCTTTTCCCCCGCTCAGAAACTACACAGCCCCTCTGGTACGTAAAATCCCCCACCATCGACGAATCTACTGTTTGCTTTGCTGACTCGTGTATGGCAGATGAGTGTAGATGTTGTACCTTCAAGGAAGGCACTGGATCAGTCCCACACCTGTCAGATACAGGTTTAGTTCTGAAAATTTTATAAACAAGTTATCAAAGCTTGGGAAGATGAATGCCACCTTGGTAAATATAGTTGTTAAAACTTGTTTTACTTTTCCCTTCCTGAATATTAAGTGTCTTTAAAGATATACTTAACAGTATTGGTTATAATTTAAAAGTATAATGCATTTTACAACTGTGAGTTCAAGTTACTGAAATGTGTAGTAATTTTTAAGTAGACTATATGATTAGTATTTCAATTGAATTGATTGATGCCATCCACTCATCACGGAGTATGTCACATGATAAGTTACCAGAAACTTAAATAAATGTAGTATCACGGAGTGGAGTGATACATCCACTCATCACGGAGTATTCACAAAACTTATTCCCTTTAAAGACCCTCATACGATAATCTGTCTGAAAATAACTTAAAACTACAGATCAGTTACTGAAGTGTCATACATATTGCAAAGTTCTTACCAATTCTCATTTTTATTTTGGCCAATAGCATGACATGAGGAAGCCAGACATTTTTCAAAGGCTGTAATGGATTTGCATATTCAGTATTTGATGAAGGAAATTCAATTGTTTCTCCAAAAGTTAGCATCTATACAAGAAACGTTGAAATGAGCAATTAGATACTGTGGCTTGGAATAAGAAAAGAAACAGAAAAGTAAATTTTCTCAGTTTTGTGGACACAAAGACATTCTCACCTGTTCAATAAGAATGTTGTGGGCCTGAGTTAGAAACTTTAATATTTCTCTTTTTGAAAAGGGAGGCTGCTGCTTGAATTTCTCAGCTTTTGTTAGGTCATCCAGTAAAACGAGGCTTCTTGCCAGGGTTAACCAAGATCGAGGAGAAATAAACTCATCTCCTTCAAGCAAATGTATTATATCCTATTAAAACAAAGGTATTTGATTTGATAGTACCGTTTTCAATTTGCAGAAACGAGCTGTCTGTCACAGCTTCAGCACCTAAAAGAATTTAGAATTCTCCTTTTGTTCCAGTAGACTCCTTCTTAAATGTTAATGTGAACAAGGCTGGCTCTATACCTGAAGGTTTGTTATGATGTCTGCCTTCAGATGCTTTTCTTGCAGGCCGAGGATGACAGCCTGCATCAGAAATTCAGCCTGCATCTCAGTGTCGTCAGCGCTGGTTGCCTCTGCACACACTTCCTTGATGAGGCTCAAACAATCTGTCATATCGTTCTCTAAAATAAACAAGTGTGGTTACTTAAAATACATTGAGAAAGCAAGAACATATATGAATGTAGCATGTTCCCAGGATTCGCTTACAGGAAGACTGCATGAGATTGAAGAACAGGAGGATATTAATATGGAAAACAAATATACTCTACATGAAGCCCTGAAAAGAAATGGAAGTTGGGGGGACTACTTTCAAATAGCCCAGTGCTGCCAAACTAACCACACTGCTACAGGAAGTCATTCGTCTTGGAAAATGGACAGAAGAATGGTGAACAGAAGGGTATAAAAACAAACTTATTAATTAGTGTGAGAATACTTACGTATGCCAGGCTAAGTCTGCTATCTAAGACTGCAGATTTTAACCACTTAATTCTAACAATAATCTAGGAAGCAGGTCCAGTTACTTGTATTTGACAGCTCAGAAGAGTGAGGCACAGAAAGAAAAGAGAGAAAACATTCAGCCAGGAAAGACTTGGCCAGGAACTGGCAGAAGCAGCCGTGAACCTGAGTTCCGGAGGCTCCAAAATCTGTGCTCTTCTCCCTGACACTCTGCCACCTTCCGAAATGACAAGACCTGGGGACATACGTGCATCCTGAAATCTCCTGCTGTTTTACACATATCCCCGACCTGCACCCACTCACCAATACAGAGGACTGTTGGAAATTACCCTTCTTATTACATAACCTGGATTTTGAATTCCAGCAACAGATCGAGCTGGAGAATTATAAAATGGGAATGTCATAATACAGAAATCCTAATAAAACCCCTTCACCTGCGCGTACGTCTATGAGAACAGCTGATTCAGCAACTGAGGCATCTGTACCTTTCACAATCCCGATGCCCCGAATCTGTGCACCAAAAGCAGTCACAAGGGCTAGGCGGCACCGCAGCCACAGATGGGCATTGAAGTATTCTCGGGCATTCAAGGAAATGGGGTCCAAAAACACATTCTCATCTTTACTTTCTGTGACCTGAACAATATTGAAATGGTGGTTATTTTCCCATTTAATAATATCGAAGTTCCTGCCGGAGGCTAAATGTAAGCCGAGAGAAGCATCCAGTATCATTTTCACGTTACGTTTTTAAATTTAGAAATTACTTTTACATGTCCTATAAAATATATAGAAAGAACAAATAAATAAACAAATCACCCACAATTCTCTGGAACTACAGGGAGGGAGCTATAGGGGACATTTTCTTTTTAGTACCTAATCTAATTTAATCTAATTTAATTTAGAATTCTCTCCTTTTGTTCTAACAAAAATCCTTCCATAAATATAAATGTGAAGAAAGTATCCTTCCTACCTTCAGTGTGTTACGATGTCTACCTTTAAATGTTTTTCTGGTAGGGTGAGCATGGGAGCTTGGATGAAGAATTCAGCCTATAGCTGGGGTCAGTCATAGGCACTGAGGAACCTCAATGTCTTCTGGGGGCAAAAAAACTCCTATTATCTCTAGAATTCCCTGCCACACATCTATGACAGCTCATCACCCAACCAGTCAGCAACGCCTACTACCCAGGAGCAGCTCCTGAGACCAGAAGAGGACAGAATGAGGACAGAGGAGGGACTCACAAGAAGACAAGGGTGAGCTGTCCCCAGGAAAGAGGCCATGGACAGGACGGTGTGTAACCCAGCCAAGTACTCCCTGGACTTCAGTACCTACATTAGTCGTGGGAAGAAAATGCCCATGGGTACAATTTAACCCCTCAACGCTTGCATCTCCTGTTAGTCATGAAAAGTCAACTTCCGCCTCCAATCAGGATTTCTCAACCCTGGGGCACTGACTGACATTTTACGGCAGATAGCAATTGCTACAGGACAGGGGAGATTGTCCTGCACATTACAGGGTGTTTTCCGGTGTCCTCGCCTTTAACCAGTAGATGCCAGTGGCACTTCCCTTATTTGCCACAACCAAAATATCCCTGGCATTTCTAAATATCCCAGAAGAGGTAAAATCTCCACTGGTGGACCACTAATGCTCTAAATCTGCTTTTCAAATTACCTTGCTTTTTAGTATTACTATCCGTTTTAATATAGTTAGAGATGAGTCTCTAGGACAATTAGTTTTGCTAATGTGTAATGTGGTTGGATATTACAGTTCTTATTAGTGATGCTTGAAATAATGAGGAAGAATTTTATGTGATGAATCTTTGTATTTTAATCCTTAATCAGCCCTATATTATTAAATTATGCAGTCTTATCAAAGCCCGATCACAGGACTTGTGAATAGTTGTCGAGAACACTTTGAGGTTTAAATATGAAAGACTATGAGGAATCCAAAGTAGAAAATAACACAGGTTTGTTACTAGCAATGCCCAGGTAAAAACTCAAAAGCTAAATGAAGAGCTGGTTTCATGAGACAACTTGATGTGCTAGTGCATTTATTTTAGGCTTACTACAAGATACACCTGGATAGAATTTTAATGATTATTAAAACTAGTTCCATCCGTTCACAAACAACATCACAACTTTATAAAAAAAAAAGAGAGATTTTTGTTAAGGTATTCCATTAATAAGCAGCATAAATTAAACTTAAGTATTTTTTTTCAATTCAGTGTTTTTTCTACTTTACCCTCTTTGCTTCATCCAAATAGTTAGATAACTGCCTAGTGTACCAACAGTATCATGCATTTAGGATTGGAAGGATAAACATAATCATTCAATGCCCAGAGATTTAGTCTCGGGATGCCCATAACAATGAAATATAATGAAATGCTTTCTCTTAAAATTTTTGTCCTTAGAATTTTTCTAGGGAACACATATGAATTTCCTCCAAAAATTCAAAAAAAATTTCAAACTTCAGCATACATGAGTTACGTTCATACGTACAGAAGTTCCTGAAGACCTGGGCTTCTCCGCATCTTCCTGTACTACTGTCTTTTTAAAAAGTTTTGAATCTTGGAGCAGTGTAAGTGTGGAATATACTATCGCAGCACTAAAAGAAAGAAAATATACATATTATTATTGTAAAAGAAAAAAAATACCATTGGAGCTTTTGTGTGATTTCCTAAATTCCTTGCTCTAAAACAAAAATTCAGGTTGGGATTCTGTCTCTGGCAAACAAATACTTCTACAAATTCATGGCTTGTCAACAATATTACATTCATTGTCACAACTCATGCGATTTTTTATTCTATTATTTTATACTTTCTATGTTTATATTTTCCTTTGGTCATATCTTTTGCTACATACAATTTTGCTTTTATTTACCACATGATTTGAAATAAATATATATATGTAATTGAGTTTTTTTGTTTTGTTTTTTTTATCGGTACCAGGGATCAAACTCATGACCATGCGCTTACAAGGCAGGTGCTTATGCCGCTGAGCTGAATCCCCAGCCCCCATATATATGTAATTGATTTTAAAAAACAATTTACCTTTTTATCAAAGCATAAAATGAAATGAAATGTAAGATAAAGAATTTAATATTCTTTCACTACCCTTTCTCTTCCCCACCTATTTAATTACTGTAACCTCATGCAATATCCCCAGGTCATTACAATCATTACCGGAATGGTTAGCTTTTTCAGGAATCGGTTTGGAAACCTGCACTCAAGTTATTCAGATGGAGCACAATCCTATTGCAGTGCTCACCACCAGTCATATTTATAGAACAACTGCCTTTTTCCAACATTCATAAAAATTAAATTTATCTCTGTCCTTGGCTGAGTGCTTCGTCAAACCCTCCTGGGGTGTTCGGCATCCGCAAAGGTTTTAGATAGTGACCTCTCCATGGGGCAGCTCTTAGTAGTGGTCGGAGGCCAGCTCTTTTCTCCTCTTCCTCTTAGCTCTGCTGCTCCGTTGCAGAAAGAAAGAGCATATGGATTGTACTCTATCTTCTTCTCCAGGTGATATTTGGAAAAGGAAAAAATTTCCCAAATTCTTAAAGAAGCTTAATTACTAATTTTAATTTTAGTATTTTTAAGGATTTTATAGTTTTATTTGTTCATGGACGTAGATGGCTTTCAAAGAGAAGGTGGAAAGAAAGAACTTTATCAGAAATATTAACCTGGAAGTACCCTACAATGAAAATCTGTATCTCATTCATTCCTTTACCTTTAGTTTACAAGGGAGCAAAATGTTTCTCACAAGTTCCCGTTTTGGATAAAAGCTTTATTACATTTCACCATTTTCAGCATTTTTACCAACAACTATAACACAAAAACAATGTGAACTGTTTTCTTATCTACTTGTTTTCCTATGCACAGGAATAAACCTTTTGTTACGCTTTTAAAAACTAAAGTGTTTACATGTTAAATCAGTCGACATTTTTCTCTGTAGTCAGTTCGAATTTCTGAAGGGCACACCCTTTTGGAGATAAGTTATTGACCTGTTTTCTTCTGATTAAAAAATCCTTTTAAATCCATCTGGCCTCACCTAATTCTAACAGTTCACACTGCAAGTGGAGAGTTCAAATCCCACCTTTGTCATGCATTAGCAGTACAACTTTGGGATCATTAATCTATCTATAAAATAGGAATGATAATAATGGTGCAGACTTCACAAACTCAAATTATTGTAGTGATTAAATCAATTATTTGTTTGTTGAAAAATACATACTGTGCATTTACTATGGTTCCAGATGGAACCAGGACACCGTGGATACAGTTATACCCAATACGGATGAAAATCCCTGCCCTTACGGATCTGGCATTCCACTGAGAGGGGAATGTGCTTACCAAGCGGGGATACTTGGCAAAAGATGACTTGTAATTCATGTAGAATTATATTAGTATAGTGAGCTGGCCAGCGTGGAGAAGGAAACTAAATTGGTATTTTCAGTTTTTAGTCAGCACTCCAAGCCTCTGAACAATTATAGGATTTTAAACTCCTGTGATGATGCAGAACCATTAAAATGGCTGCAATGTTTGCAGAATAGTTTCTGAGGTATCATGACCACCTAACTTTACTGCTTTTTATTGAAAATAAAACTAAACAAGCAAGACAATAACAACAAACATAACTCAGACACAGTGTATATACAAATACAAAATTTCTTCTCCCATTAATCCCTAGTACTCGGGGGTTTCTAAGGCACACGTTTCCAAGGCCTCTTGTTACTTGGCAGCTTCAGAAGCTGGTGCTTCATGGCTATTAGAGAACTCTGGAAGAAGAAAATGATGCTCATGCCAGTATCCTTAATTTGGAGTCAGTATTCTGATTTCAAGAGAAATGAAATATGATGTTTGACACCTTGTTAACCCCAAAAATGTAATGAATAAAATATAGGACATACCAGGATGTTGTAATCTACCTGGCGCTGCTTAGATGCTGTCTTAGTCTGTTTTCTATGAATATAACAAAATGCCTGAGACTAGGTGACTTGCCAAGAATGGCTCAGTGCTGGAGGCTGGAAATCCAGAGCACGTTCACGGCTAATGAGGGCCTTCTAGCTGCCCTGTAACATGCGGGAAGACATCACAGGGAAGAGACTGTATGCTTGCTCGGGTCTCTCCTCATTTAATAAAGCCACTAGAGCATCCTCAGGGTCCCACCCACATGACCTCAGCTAATCCTAATTACCTCCCAAAAGCTCTGCCTTCAAACACTACTAAGATAACGCATTTGGAGACTAAGTTTCCAAAACGTGGATTATGGGGGACACACATTCAAACCAGAGCGGCTGCACAACAGAGAATTTCCACTTGCTCCACTAGAATACACAGCATTACCTGTTTCCATCAGGTAAAGACCCAAAAGGAAGGATCAAAGACCGGAAGGAAGGAAGTTTCATTCTGACACACAATAAAAAGGCTTAAATATTTTCTATTTAGACAGAAAATTAAATATATAGGAGAAGAGGAGGAAAGATTTTTTTTTAAAAAAAGGATGAGATTCAGGGAAAGAGAGAGACATGTCCAGAAGTAGAAATACAGTGTGAATAACTTTGATCCCATTTATTTCTTATTAACATTCATGACAAAAATGGTCAGTTTGTTCTCATAAAATCCATGAGGCTCACTCTACCTGTCACCCCAGGGAATGTGCCTTTCAATTTCCTTGACACATAATTTTATTAGAAGTATCAGGAAATGTCAAACTAACCATCACTTGGAAAAGGGACTGTCCAACACTCTCAGCAGTGCCCAAACAGAAGCTCGCAGAGGGTAAAGTTCACCGAAGAAAAACTCATTCATCCTGACAGTAGTCTTCTCCCAAATGACAACTCTGCTCCGAAAAGGCAATAACATCAAAGTTTCTGTAGGTTTTGTCCCAAGGGCCAGGTCCGTGTATTTAAAGTAGGAGCAATTCTGATACACTTGAACATTATTTGCATATGTCTATCTGGTCTTCAAATTAAAGTTCTATGATGACAACCCTTCCCATGGCCACTTTATCATTTTTAGGTTCTCGTTTCCTTTGTACTCCCTAAAAAAAACCCATCGCTCATATGCTCTGTTCCAAGAGGGCAAGACACAGCGAGTGGAGACAATGAAGGTAAATGACAAAAGATATTTTTGAAGACTACTGCTGCTTTCACAGCCACAGATCTGCAGAGAATGGCGTCTTAGGGCTTCCTTTTTTCATGCTTTGATGGGGAAAATGATTATTATTTTACAATAAAGTAACTATTTTGTCATCAGTAAACTATTACTGTACTCAAAGATGGTTACAAATGTGGCAGACTACTAACTTGGGACATCTGAAGCTCCATTTTCTCCTCCCTTCCCACCCCTAAAAGTGGACCCCCCAGAGCTTCATGCACATTTACCATATTGGAAGTTAAATTGAGAAGCTTTAAATGCCTTCACTGTTCAGCACATCTCAAAATAAAGATAAGGAATCATTACATGCCAATATAAATAATGCATTTAGAAGCAAAGCAAACTGTATGCTCTTCAAGAAGCTAAAAGAATGACATTGTTCTCTTAATGTTTGCCTTAATAAAAGACTGTTCACTTTCAGATCTGCTTGAACATTTGTTGGGGACCACAAATTCGCAATGGCTAGTTTTACATACTTCCCAAAGGGATGAACAGAGGATTGCAAGGATTAGTATCACCCTTTTGATAGTTCCCATTGTCTCATGAGGGGTGGGTCACCTCCCCCACACCCCCCACTAAGACTAAGACTAAGACTAAGACTGAAGACCTCCAAGGCAAGATCCTCATTAGTTTAACATCACCACCACCAAGCCATCGGATACTCCCTCTAATTACTGTCTGCACCCAATAAAAAGTGGCTGGCCCCAAAAGTTTTTGTTCTTGCCCATCCTGAGGCAATGGCCTCCCAGCCCTTCTTTTATGAATTACTAACTTTGTTATGCTCTTTCTTCATCTGTGGCCATATCCCTCCTACGGGCAGTTGGGGATTTTGGCCAGGTCTCCAATAAACGTTCAGTCTGTTATGACATATTATTTCAGGTCAAGAATATGAAAAATATTAGTTCTTACACAGATAATTGTTGGAAATGAGAGGACAATTTTAAAGGTAACTTCAAATAACTCTATTTTTGTTTTATGCTATGTTATTCAGCTTTCCTGCTGCTGGGACAAAACCCCAATGTCCAACTTAAAGAAAGAAAGGTTGCATTCTGTGTTTCAGGGAATTCAGTCCATGGTTGGCTGGTTCTGTGGCAGAAGGGCAGAGCAGAGCCAATCTGTGCAGCTCTGCTGGCAGGAAGCAGAGCAGGATAGTGCCAGGGAGGACGGAGTCAGGGACCGGATAGAACACCCAAGGTCACACGTCCACGACCCACCCACACGTGTGATCCACCTCTCTCCTGGACAGATCCCAAGCCAATCAAGTTGATACAGTCAAGATTAATTGTCACAATATTATACCAAAATGTGATGACTAACCATCTCATTAAAGTCTGTTACCATGTAGAAGTGAATACCACTTATTAGTGAATTTTTCCCATCTCCCATTACATGTAAATCTTGTTAACTGGTATTTTCTAACACTTTACACTGGTAATTTTAAGAAATTATCTCCCCAAAATAGAAAACTATTTCAAAATACAACCACAAAAATATTTTTGTTAATATTCTCACTCATCTCCTCAGAAAAAAATAGTAAACACTGGTAAACTGTTAAGCTCGTGATGGCAAATACAAATTGTCCAAAATTCGAATTTTCCTAAGAAAGATCAAATTTTATCACTGGACACAAATACTATCAGTTCTTTGCCTAGAAGTGGCAAGCTCACTGTGCTTTTTTTCAAGATGTCTGCCAAATACCCAAAGCCAAGTAACATAGTCTGTCAGGTGTTTTTTTCAAGTAAAGATGGTTTTCCACAAAAAGAGCATCACCGGCTTTGACATGCAGCAGAAATGCCTAGGCATGCTTCCCGTTTGGGATCCTCACCAAATATGACACACACATTCAAGGATAGGAGTTTACAAGTGCAATAAATGGCTTCTCCTGCTTCATCAGAGACATTCGTAAACACGAATGTATTTTTCTTAAATTCAAGAGTTCAGGATTAAAGATTGTAATGACTGTCACGCTAGTTTGCTGCCTTGGCCTTGACTCATCAGAGTCTTCAGTATTTCTACTACTGCCTTTTCACCATCAATAAAAACAATACTCGGAAGAAGGCAAACAGTATCTTTATTTTACCATAACAAATCCTTGCAGCCTCCCAGACCCCCCACCTGAATGGGTCGAAGACACACCTGGACATCTACAGACCGCACATTGAGAATCAATGCTCCAGAAAGAGGTTGTGGTGTTCAGTACTGCTCAGAAACCACAAAACCCATAAATTCCTTCAGGCCTATACTGCCTGTAATGTAAGGTTCAGAAGAGATGGTTAATCATGGATTATTCTCCAGTTACATTTATCACACACACAGATGCTCAGACACCCCAAGATGGTGCAGGAAAACCTGCAGAACGCCTCATAAAGCTACCCAGGAAGAGCAGCGCAGAAAGGTTGGAAATGTCTTGACAGAACAAGAAGACGCATTTGGGGTGTCACGGCTGTTCCTGTGTGCTGGCACTGGGATAAGTGTTCCCACATGTGGGCCAGGCTCAAATTTTCCACCAGCACCAAGGTAGAGAATAAATAATCTTCCTTGTCTGCCCAGGCTGAGGCAGGAGAAGGGGCGTGAAGCAGCCGAAAAGGTGTTCACCACCAGGTAGCCAGAGGCACATTCTGTTACAATCACGTGGTCTGAAAATGTAACTTCCTCCCCCGCCCACCTGGGCTCCAGGTGGTCCCCACAGCACTTAGCAATTCTGGCCACACTATGTCATTGACTTACTTAGGTATACAGGTTATATTGGCCTGCTTTTATCTATGAAAACAGAAACTTCATGAGGATAAGATTTCATCACCCATTGTTACATATTTTGTGTAGGTCCTCTTTATGAGCATCAAGGCACTAGTATTTCCCAAGAACTTACTTAGAACAGTGCTTAGCATACAGTAAGTACTTAAAATTATTTTTCATCTAATAAGTAAATTATAAGACACTAAGGTATGAGTAAATGAATCATGCTCAAACAGGTCAGAGGACTTCACCACCAATGATGTAAGAAATTCTTCAAAGTATAGGTCTGTATTATTAACGATAAGAAACCACTGAAAATAAATTACTTTTAGTACTCTACTTAATTGTTACATGTCTGTGAGCATATGGATGCCAGAACTACATTCTGTTTAACTTTGCAGACTCAATAGCTTGATCAGAGCCTGGCAGTGAAATCGTTAATAAGAAATTAAATAATAAATGAACAAGTCAAATGAAAGATCTGACACTAACAGATATGGCACATATGAAAAATTTGTCACCTGCAACAGTTTCTTAAATAATATAGCACAACATACAGTAATTCAGAAGACGTTACTTTTCCAAAGTAGATCTTTTCAGTAGTTTTATTTGGTACTTAAGAAAAATATATGCCATAGTCTTTATTTGTAAAAAGCTATAAATAATTTAGGATCAGTCTTTTAAAAAGTTAAATTACTTAAAATCAAAGCACTGTTAATTTGTTCATTCTATACATGATAGTAAACATCCTAGTTAGTGTGCTCTAATAAAGCAATTTCATTGTGGAGAATTGCAACTTTGAGTGTAATAACTTATGAAAACTCACCTAAATAATAAAAAGCATTTCTAAAACTTACCTTACATCTGAGGGTAATTAACAGATTAGGATCAGCAATTTCTGAGCAGCACCAAAGGAGGGCGCACCTGGGCTGTCGGGAAGGGAAGGATCAATGCCAGGGTGTCCAGGAGACCCACCTGTATGCTGCCCGGTGCCACTGCAGGGCGATTGCTGCCAGCTGAAGCCTGGCCTCCACCACGGTCTCCAGCTCGCCAGCAGAGCACTGAGAGAGGTCCTTGAGGCCTGTGCGCTGTTCCACCTCGGACACAAGCGAGTTCAGCTGATCTTCTGCCTCCATCAGTAAAACCCCCTACAGAAAGAATACCATGTGATCTCCTGAGTTCAGAAACAATGTCCCATTCTTATCCAATATTTTTCATATACCAAAAAGTAACAGTGAATTGGAAGGCCAAGCAGGAAATTTGTACCTAATCATCAGAGACAGCTCAGAGCACAGGAAAAGGGCACAGAAAATGAGAAAAAACACAGTACCAGCAAGTACCATCGTGGACCACAGGCATCCTTCACTGCTGTACTCATTACCAGCAATAGTTCTAGTAAATTCTACAAACTTGCTACCAACATTGATTAATGACTCCTAAGCCACTGCTCTTAAGGAAAGTGCAGAGACAGATTCCTGCAAACCTGGTCACCATGTTTCCAAATACTGATCAATACCTTGCTTTGCTTAATGTGTACTTATATTTAAGGAAACACTTAATATATATTGTTGATATGTTAACTGGATTTACAAGCAACAGTACTGCAATTTACTTAGGTCTGAAAAAACCTTATATATACACATGCATTTTTTTTTCTTTGTAAGGTGCATAAAAGCTTCCTTGAACTTAGAAATAGTAGACAGCATTTAAACGCTACCATTAGGGAGCATTTTTTTAATTGATTAAGGTAAGCAGCATTTTAAATATCAAAATCATCCCTAAAAATAGCACAAAAATGACACAAAAGTTGAGTAATCCTATTGCAACAATCTGAAATCCAAAATGCTCTGAAATAAAACTTTTGAGCACTGACAAGACACTCAAAAGTTTCAAATACTAGAGCATTTATTGAATTTTTAGATTTTCAGATTAAGGAACACGACCAGTAAAGTCTACGGAAATATTACAAGATCAAAAAAATTCAAATCTCCAGCTCTTCTGTCTTGAAGCATTTTGGACAACATATGTTCAACCTGCGTGAAACAGACCAGAGAAGTATAGAAAATAGAGAGAGAGAGAGAGAGTCATTGCGTTCAGCTCGTCTGGGAACGTGCACTTAGGGCAAGTCAGATTCTTCTGTGCATCTGGTATGTTCACAAATGATCAAAACAGTGCCAAGAGTATTGATTTTGAAGTTATAAATAAATTTTAGCAGGCAGGAAAATTAGCAAATAAAGTCCATGAGTAATGAAGATGGATTATATTTCATGTTAAACTATGGTTATCTAATTGGCAATATGAAGATAATGAGATTTTACAGTAGACAATCAATAATAAGTAGCAATTGGATATGGCAGAAGATGAAAAATAAACCCAAACAATCTTTCAAGCAACAGGTCTCTAAAGATTTGTTATACAGAGTAGTAAATATCATACAAATTCTAGGGCAATTTAATAAAATAGCTAACAATAGATATTTCATCAAAAAGGCAGAGGTCCTACTCCCAGATCTGTATTTTGTTACATGCATGCCACTGCTGAATTTCATATACTGTCTCAGCTAGTTTCCTCATGATCCAGCACTGCATAGTTAAAAATGATTAATAACTATATCAGAGATTCTGAAAATCAAATAACCATGCAAATGCCTATCATGTAGTAAGCACTGAATACATGGTAGCTGCTACTGTTGCTGTTGTCATTACTTTGATTAGAAATTGAGAAACAAGAGAATGGAACACTCAAATCTCATTCGATAATAAATCACATATTCTGCAGCACCTTAATCGGGTTGCTGAATCAAAGCCTGACACCTCTGGGTACCCACTTTTCTCAAGGAGAGTGCATTTCATCTCTGGCCCTAACCCATTCATATCCAAGAAAAGCTATCTGGTCTCCAGAAACCCAGCACCACCCTGAAATTGTGCCTTCCCGCAGCTTAAGAATTTGCATTTTGATCACTGATACTAATAACTGAACAAATTTTCAGACTTACCTTTATCATGCTAAAAGTAGACTCATCTTTAACTTTTATAAACTGACAAAATGAGCCTCTGTCATCCTTTAAGTAGAGATCTACAAAGACACCGAGAATATCTATTGTTAGCTTAAATATTGACTGTAGTTTTTGAAATCTGTCATTCATGAGAAACCACTGATCAGCCTAATTAAAAACTACAATGATCAGTAGAAACATATTCTTATATCAAATAGTCCTAAATAGAATACATTTGAAAACTGAGGCTGATTCTGACAGCAAATCAGATAGTTATGAAAGGAACTTTTAGATGCTTAATGATATTATTCAAGTTACTAATTATGGATATAAAGTAATGGTTTCTCCTTTGGGTTCCCAGGACCACTTAAGACTCGCAAAGTGTTCTAAGGCTTCCAGATATTTCTTTCATTTCAACAAGACATCCTTGGAGGTATCAGTTCTGGTATATGCATGAGTCCCTCAAGTTAAAAGCGGAGAGTGAGAAACAGCATGATATACAATATTAAAGCATCTCTACATCTCTTTCAAAATCCTCCACAAGCTGAAGCCTGCACTTATTCTAGGACAAAAAGAAGTTAAAGCACAGCCTTTGCCTGCTTTAATCAACCTGGGTTCTAGCAAAGAAGAAAAAGAATCATCTCACTAGAAACTACTGTAAAAATACTCCACAAAGAGACTAATTTTGTCAAAGGGAAAGAAAAATTCTAAAGTAACTTGGAATTTAACATACTGACTTCCTTTCCTCTGCTTGTCCCAATGTCATAGCTACTCCCCTTAATTAGGACCCTCTGAATTTGAGGGTCAGCTGAGTATAATGGGAGACTTGGGCTTTTGCTCAAAAACACATTTGTTGTTCAGAGAGATGAATTTCTGGAACAAGGATATGTGTAAACTCCAAGAACCCACCATACAGGGAAACTGTTGAAAATTATACAAGAAAAAAGTATGTTCAAAATCTCTAGAAATCTAAGGGCATATGACAAATGATTAAAGCATATTAACTACTTCATATACAAAGAGGCTGGAGAAGTTCAACTCTAATAGTGCTCTCAAAAAAGGAGTTTATTATAAAAGTATTAGAGGAGGTCGATAGGTTCATTAGGCACCTAGGTTTAATTTTGCAGGAGAGGACTGGAGAAAAAGAAAGCTAGAAGGAAACAAAAATTAGCAACTTAATAAATCAAGGGGAAAAAATGAACAGAGTGCCAGTTCAGTGTGAGATACTATTAAGCATACCAAATATGCAAAATGGGAGCACAAGAAAGAATGGGGTGAACAAAAAGAAGGGGAAATATTTAAAGATATAAGAGCTAAAAACTTCTCAAGTTTATTGGAAAATATATTAATCTTGAATCAAGGAGGTTCAATACACTCCAACTAGAGTAAATACAAGGTGAGCTACAAAAAGATCATTATAGAAATATGCTGAAGATCAAGAAGACAAAGAAGTTTTTTGTTTGTTTGATTTGATTTTTTGTTTGCTGGCTGGGTTGGGTTGGGTTGGGTTGGTGGGAGTGGAGAGTGAACACAGGACTTTCAAAGTCCCACGCTTTATCCTCAGCCCTGGTTTTGAGACAGCATATCACTAGGTTGCTCAGGTAGGACTCTAACTTGCAATCCTGCTACTTCAGCCTTCCATGTGTTGATATTAGATAAGGAGAAAAAATCTTAAAAGCAGTAAGAATAAAAAAGTATCCTTTGATTTCCTATTAACTTGATTTGAAGCCCTGTATTACTCCCACTATCTTGTTTTGACTGATTAGACTCTGTTGTGTTCTGTTTGATAGTATCAAGTCTGAGGGTATAGGCAACTACTTTGAAGGCAATAAGATTCACTATGATGCCCATTCTGGTTTGACTATTATCTCCTTTTGAAGTCCTGTAATGTTTCCAATGTTTAGGTTTTTTTGGTCTTGTTCTGTATTGTTTTGTTCAATTTTATTATACCTAATGATATAGGCAATTCTTTTTAAGGAATCAAGAGGCATTATGGTAACCATTGTAGATAACCTTGTATTCTGTTTTTATATCATGTGCTATGTCTATCCTTTGTTTTGACAGACTGCTTTGTTTTGTCATATTCGGCTTTATTCTCTTCCAAAAAAAAGTAATAAGAACTTTTATGGGAGTAATAAAACCCAAAATGTGTAAATTTTGTTGTAAAAAAGAGAGGGGAAAAAAGTGCTCTAAAGGATACAACTCCAAGTGTATTTAGGTGTGTTAAGATAGATGACCATATTAATGTTTTTGGTTGGATCATTGAACACAACTGTTTGCAGTCTCACTGTTTGAATGTCCACTTTGTAAGCTTTAATCCTGTAACCTGAACAACTATTTCTAAGATGACAATATGTAATCTATTAACTAGTGATTTCTTACCGTTTTTTTCGTAATTCTGTATTACTTGTACTCTTATACTATTTTTTTCTTTTTTTCCTTTAAATAAAAAAATTTTTTTAAAATTATCTTGTCCTGTTTGAGCAAACCCCAATAATATTCATTGTTGATCTCTCATCAGAAACAATGGAATCCAGAAGACAGTGGAATAGCATAAGAAATCCCCAAACGAGAAAACTGTCAAGAATACTACCCAGCCAAAGTGGCCTTAATGATGAGGGCAAGATAAAGAAATTCCTTGAATAAAAAAGAAATAGAGGGATTTTTGCTATCAGATCCCTATTACAATATGAAAGGGATTTGCCCCCAGACAGTGGTGTCGAAGGAATGTAAGTTCCTGTTTTTCCTTCCTCCATTGGCCCCAGAACAGGATGGCTCGGCTGGCAGCAGGAGTCTGAGTTTTTGCTCCTTTATTCCTCAATTGTCCCCAGATGGTGAAACTGGCAAAAGGAATGTGACTTTACACTCCTTCCTTCCTCCATTTTCCCAGAACAGAGTAACTGGGGAAAGGCGTACAGTGTGGCTGGCGAGAGGATTCTGAGTTCAACTTCTCCCTTCCTCCACTGACTCAGAACGATGCAACTGGCAAGAACTGTGAGAGTCTGGGTCCTCCTTCCTCCATCGACCTGGGATGGTGCAGTCGTGAGAGGAGTGAAAACACTGTGATCGCATGCGGTCATAACCATCACCAGAGTCCGGTACCAAAGGAGTGAGTCCTAAGTCAAATAGACAACAACTCCCAGTGGTAATATATTGGGAAGGTAGATTTTAGGGGTAGACATAAAGACCAAGAGTCACACACATACCAGAAGACATCTGCAGGAACAGACACCTCCTGGGAAAGCCTCAACACAAGTGACAAAGCTAACATAAGAAATCTACAAGCATCAGTGCCAAATAAAAAATAAAATAGAAAATGACAAGATAGGGTTGGAGACATAGCTCAGTGACATAGCACCTGCCTGGCAAGCACAAGGTTGTAAGTTCAATTCCAGGTACCAAAAGAAATGGAAATCCCAAGGTGAAGAAACAAAATGCAGTCCCAAACGCCCATCCTACCCAGGATAAGTCCAGAACACAGAGAGGAAATCAGAAGCCAACAAATGGAACTTTCTGAAATGATAGCAGCGGAAGTGCAAAAACAAATGGAAGAGAAAAAAATAACCTCTAAGTATAAAAAGAAATGGTTATCTAAATAAAAGACATTAAAGCAGATACAGATAAACAAAGAGAGGAGCTCAGGAAAATGATGGAAACAATGAATGCCAGACCTAGACAAAGAGAATAAAAAGGAATCAATGAAAAAATTCAAACAAATGTAGGAGATTAGAAACTCCATTGATAGTATATGCAGCAGACCGAAAATAAGTAAGGACAGAATATCAGATCTATAAGCCTGGAACGTGACTAGCAATCAGGAAAAGAAAAAATCTTAAAAATCACAAGAGACCATGAAAAATCAATCCAACAGATGCAGGATAAAGCAAAGAACAACAAGATAAGATTTATCAGAATCAGTGACAAAGCTAGCAACAGCACAAAAGCCATTAAAAACCTCTGCACAGAAATAATGGCAAAAAAACCTTCCCAAACATGGATAAAGAATTTGATATAAAAATAAATGAAGCATATAAAACTCCACATAGCCATGACCAAAACAAAGCTATATGAAGGCATATAATGATCAAGATTCTAGAAACAACAAAATATTAAAAGCAGCTAGAGAAAAGCAATATATTACCCATAAAGGAAAGCCAATCAGAATCACATCAAAATTCTCAGCACAAATTCTCAAATCAAGGAGAGCTTGGAGTGAGGTATTTTAAGCTCTAAAAGGAAAACAATATTTAACTCAGACTGATGTACCTTGCAAAACTATATTTCAAAATTGATGGAGAAATAAGATACTTCCCTGAAAAGGGCAACAGAAGAAATTCATGACCACCAGGGCTGGGGATTTAGCTCAGGGTGTAAGTGCCAGCAAGGTTGTAAGTTTGATCCCCAGTACCACCAACCAGCTCTACAGAATGCTCTGAAGGACATACAAGAAAGAGATAATGAAGACCACAAACACATGGACATGAATAGAAAGAAGCCTCAAGGCAGGGCAAGCAAGTAAACAGAGAATAAAGACAGGAAACAAACAACAGGAAAACAACATTAAAAAGAAAAGCCAATACATATCAGCTTTAGCCATCAATATAAATGGTTTCAACTTACCAATCAAAAGAAACAGACTGGCAGAATGTATCAAGAGGCAATATCCAACAATATGCTGCAGTCAAGAAATACATTTAACCCCAAATCCAATTCACAGACTAAAAATCAAAGGATGGAAAACAATTCTCCATGCCACAAGAATCCAGAAAAAAAGCAGAGTAGCTATTTTATTTGTAGACAATGCAAACTTTAAGCCAAAACTGATCAAAAGAGACAAAGAAGGTTACTACATACTTGTTAAGGGAAAACTCCAAGAAGAAGAGATAACAATCATAAGTGTTATGCAACAATTGCAGGTTCGCCCAACTACATAAAACAAATATTAACAGACATGAAAAACCAAATAAGCACTAACACAGTTGTAGTACAGGATCTTAATACCTCTCTCTCACAAATAGATAAACTAGACAAAAAACTCAACAAAGAAATACTAACATTAAACCCAGCCTGTGAACAAATG